CCCGGCCCCTGCCCGCCCCGCTGCATCCAGCATCCCTGGGACCGGGTGTAAACTTCTCCCTGGAGCGCGGGCCGGACGCGCAGTGGTCCTTCCCGGCTGGAGGTGGACGCGCGGGTCAGAGGGGAGGTCACGCTGCGGGCACAGCGTCCAGCGGCGCCTCGAGACCCCGGCCGAGGTTACTGTGTTTGGGGGGAGAAACGCATCTGCCGCCGAGTTCCTGACTGCTCCCCTCCCCCCTGGAGTGAGCTGTGACATTGCTGTGGCCACAAAGGAGGAGGTGGAGGTAGAGATGGTGGTGGAAGAACAGGTGGCCAACACCCTACACGTAAAGCCTGTGACCTGCCGTGAAAAGGAAAAAGTTAATCCCAGAAGGTCTGTTTTGCTTTGTCAAGTTAAAACACAGGAATAAAAACCCAAAGAGCAGAAAGAAGCAAGGGTTTTTTTTCTCCTATAGTCAAATGCAGATAGCAGTAGTTAAAATAGTCTGAAGTTTAATTTTCCTTTTCTGGTCCTTTCCCCCCATCTCTTCTGTATTACCTTCGTCCTTACAGAATTGTTCATATCCTATCCTAAAACAGCACTCACACGATTTTTAAATTTGACTTTGAAAAGGAGTGAATTGTAGCCGTCAGATAGCTAACCATATGAAAAGAATGCTCTTAGACCTGTGCGTGTTACAGCCAGTCTTAAGCCAGCCTTGATAAGCCTTGATACCCAGCAAAGCAAGGGATTCAAAACACAAAGATGTTCTCTAATTCACTCATTGTATATGTTATACTTGTAATGGAAAATCACCTAAAAATCATAAAGGAAAAGTGTCTTCCTAATAATCATCTCACAATTAACCATATGAATGGTAGCACTTTTAAGTGACTAAGGTCCAAAATGCTGACTCCTATAGACATCAGATATGCTTGATGTCAGTGTTTACTTTGAGACTGCAGCCATCCACAAGCGTTTTTGACCCAAAGAGATGGTAAATGGTTATTGAGTTTTATAACAAAATTGAATTTTTTTCCATTATCAAAATTGTTGGATGCTAGTCCCAGTTGAACTCCTTATTACCTTTTGTGACTGTTGATGAAAGTAACCCTTTCTTCGAGACTTCTTTGGAATCCAGTTCCTTGTAGTAGATTTAAATATTACTTGGTTTAATAAAAATAAATGTAAAAATTTTAAAAATATCCTGATTGAAAAATATCTGCCCCCCCAAGCAACAACCATTGTGTAAATCAGTAGACCAGAAGGTGTGCGTCTCTGACTACATGTGCATGTAACTAAACGCCAATACAGCGTTTGTCTACAGTATGTCCTATGCTAGCAGACATTTTGGTCTTTAGGACTCCTTTACATTCTTAAAAACTATTGAGGTCTCAGAAATGTTTGATTTGTGTAGGGTCTTATCAGTGTGTACCATATTAGAAAAAGGAATTTTATAATAGTATTCATTCCTTTAGAAATAGAAATAATAAGCTAATTATTTGATAATGTGAATAAATTTTTAAATAAATAAATAATTAGAAGGGTGGCAGTGTTTCGCACTTTAACAAATCTGTTTAGTTATATGCATTTATAGCAGGCATCTGTATTGTCATATCTGCGACTGCGTTCAATCTATTGTGATCACACAGTCTGAAAAACTCTACCAGACACTTGTGAAAAAATGATAGTGAAAAAGCTAAAGAACATCTAATATTATTATGAAAACAGTTTTGACCTTTTGGAACTCCTGAAGAGGTTCCTCAATTGCTGTTACAAGCTTTTCAAAGTGTTCTTTTAGGGGCGGGGCAAGGCCCCCAGGGAGCGAAAGGACATATTTTCATGTGATTCTTCTCATCTCCATTCTTATCATCTCCATTTGCTGTGGCCTATATTTGGAATAAAAAGTACCAAACAGGGTAAGATACCGTTGCAGTGGCCTTCACTGTGGCCCCAGACAAGCAATGCCTGAGGGTGGATGGGACTGAGCAGGCTAAGGAGCCATACTGCAGGTCTGTGATACAATAGTTTTCTAGTCTGCTGTGCTGTTTCTGGGGCAGCTCGGGGGTAAGGTGAGGAGGTTAGTGCATCGGAACAAATTAATCTTTATTTTTTCCTAAAAAAAAAATGCTTCATGAGTTTAGTATATTTTGCAGTATACACACATTCATCAATCTGGAGCTACTTATTCCAGATCAGAGGGTGTGTCATTCTTTCTGCGTTTTTGCTCCTTATTTGTAATTATTATGTTACACGAAGGAAAAGAATAAAATTAAATATGTTCATTTTACTTCAGAATAGTTTTAAGTAGCTGACTAAATTATCAGATTTTATTTTCTCATGATTGTTAACTATAATTTGTCAATATTTATTGCACTTGTAGGGCAATGATGTATTAGAAGCAAGTCAGGTGGATTACTCAGAAATGCGCACTTATATCTTCAAAATTTTTCCTTACCAAAAGTAGTTTTTAATCACTAAATTTTTTTTTTTGTACATAGGGCTATTTAGCAGCACAAATATAGGAATATATATTGTGACTGATGAACAAATCACCTAAATTTATAGTTAATTAAAAATTCTCAAAGGTTTCTGAGTTCTTTTGTTTTTCCCCGCAGGCAATTTATTTCTCTTTGATATAGTCCAACTTTGATCCTAGACCCCCATGTAGTTCTTGCTACCTATCCAGAAGAACTATGATGATGTTTTTAAAAAGTTTTCCAGTCGGGCATGCTAGTGCGTGCCTGTAACTCCATCACTCGCGAGGCTGAGGAAGAGGACTGCTGCAAGTTTGAGGCCAGCTTGGGCTACATGATGAGTTCAAAGCCAGCCTGAATACATAATGAGACCCTCTTTCAAAAAAAAAAAAAAAATAGCTCCACCAAAGATACTCTTAACATATCTACTTGCAACTCTTAAAAGCCTGAATCAACTAAGAATACTGCAAGAATAGGAGTGGGGATAGCTGTCAACAAGTTTGTGTCGATGTGTCTGTAGGGTATAAAGCACTGTGGGAGACTGTTGTACTGAGTGAAGTCACAACATATTCCTTTGAGAGCCATTAGCTGCTGCAGAAAACTAGTAGATAGAATAACCTGAGTATAATATAAAAGGACTGTGTTCTCTGTGTATTTTTTCTTAAATGTTGATGAGGGAGTTTGTAAATGAAGTACAATTCATTGCAGTACATACACCTGTAGTCAACTGAGGTTTTCATCATAGAATTTCAGCATACCTCACAGTTTTCCAGGTAAAGAGGAATTTCTGTCAAAAGGTATTAGAATATTTGATAGTGTATTGACCTCGTGTGGTACCTGTTCTAATTGAGTAACATTTTCATTATTTTTGTTATAAGGCCTGCTGAAAATGACCGAATATAAACTTGTGGTAGTTGGAGCTGGTGGCGTAGGCAAGAGTGCCTTGACGATACAGCTAATTCAGAATCACTTTGTGGATGAATATGATCCTACAATAGAGGTAAATCTTGTTTTAATATACATTTTACTTGTACAGGACCATTCTTGGGTGTCAAAAAAAGGTTTCTCTGATCATTTTCCTGAGTTCTTTTTAGTGAGTAATTCTAGGGGAAGTTACTGAGTTACCTGAAATGTCCTTGAGTTTCAAGACTGAAGTTACATGTAACTGTAGATGTGGGGAGCCCTGCTTCTTTCAGGAGAATGCTGTTCACTCTTAACAGTATATGTGTTTGGATTGGGACAGTATTTCAAAATTTTTATTATTTCGTTTTTGTTTTTGAGACATGGTCTTACTGTGTAGTTCAGGCTGGCCCTGGACTCACTGTGTAGCTCAAGCTGGCCTTGAACTCCCAGTGATCCTCCTGCCTCAGCCTCCCAAGTGCTGGGATAACCGGCATGCTCCACCACACCCAATGGTATTTGAAAGTTTTATAAAAGCTTTTGTTTCATGGGTTTGTTTGAAATTTGATGTCACATGTAGAAGTTAGATTGAATGTACTGGTGAAGTGTAATCATTTTTTGGTTGGCTGTTGTTTAAACATGGTATTTTCTCCTTAGCTTTGAAGTAATGGAGAACCTGTAGTTACCTGATGCATTTTTAAAATCTCATTTTTTGCCTAAGATGTGATTATATAAAAGTACTATAGTCCTTACCTATATCTTGTGATCCTTTTTAATTTAGTTAAAAAAGTGTTTCTTTTTCTTTTAAATACAGTTTGATTAATAAGATTTTCAAGATTACTGTATTTTTAGAATGTTAGTATTATGAAAATTAGCGAAGTCTAAATAAAAGCCAAGAACAAATTGGTACAATAAAGTTCTGGAAGAGATCTTGAGAAGTCAGGTAGATTTTCTACTGCATCTGGCAACACTTGACTCAAATTATCCCAAAATGATCAGGACTTATTGAATCCCAAAGAATCTGTAACTGTCTTGTTAGGTCATTTTCAGACGGTAATTATTGGCATATTTTATGAATAATCTAAATCTTCATGTTAAATTTTATCAGAAATAAATATATCACCTTTTATATGAAACAGCCGTATATTCTTAGATTATTTCTTAGGCCTGTTTACCCCAGGTTTTGTTAACCTAATCCCATTATTTTTATTCTTGCCTACCAATTTAAAAAATCTGTTCTGAAGAATTTCCCAGATCTTTCTAAGAACTAAGTTCCAAGCTATGGAATCTAGGACAGGTCAGAAATGTCCTGTTAAGGTCTGTCCTGTGTAATGTCTTGGAGAAACACTTTGCATTGAGATGGATTCCAAGGCGTGCGTGGCCTCGGGGAAATATGCACTTTAGAACTTCGTGGATTGGTTAGATTACTGTTCATAAGGATATGTCAGATACTTTTGGTAGTACAAAAAAAAAAGAAGAAATAATGTCTATTTGTAAATCTTTGATTTAAATAAACTTTTATTTTGTTTCCAAGTTTAAGAATTTGCATTAGTAAAAGGGAACAATCTAAAGTCCACCTCCTGTGTAAAAGTCTGTGCATACCACATTTAATTCTGATAGTTCTGTGCTATACTATAGTTTTAACTTTTTCTTTGAGGAAGAAAGAATAGTTTACCCATTTTGATCTGTATTCCAAATCCAAGCTTACTTGGCATATTCTTGTCATTTTAATCAGGTGTAAAGAAAACTTAATAGAATGCAGATTAAGCATGTAAGTTTTCCTGGGATTTGGAAGATGATTTTAGCAGATCTTTCCTTCATCTTCCCTGATGATGAGAAATTCCATAATGCTCTGTTTCCTATCAGAGGTCATGAGTATTATATGAATGCTGTAACATGAGTTCATGAATGCATGAATGTGATGAAATAGGTTAGGAAACTTTGCACTCAAAATTGTTAAAATGCAGCCTAATTCCTGAATAAACAAAGCTAAGAGTCAATTCATTGTTTGTGGGGAAGGTAGAAAATGATTATAAACTTAAACTCATAACTCTGATCATGGTTTCTGCTAATCCAGAGTGGATTCAGGGAAGCGCTGTTGCCTGTGAGCTTTGAGTCTGACATTTCCTTGTATAGCTTAGCTACCTACAGACAGGTATGTGAGATTATTATTTATCTCCCAAGTTACATGATACTCTTAGAAATCTGACACCTAAGTTAGTTCATGGAATTGTTCAATTCTAAGAAAGGCAAGAGAATTTAACAGTTTAATAGGATCGATTGACTAAAAGTGTCAATTCTGTTATTGTAAAAAAGATTAAGGACAAGATTTCACTGCTGCTATTAGGTTCTGATTGGCAAATAATGTGGTTGGAAAGAAAAATAGAAAGGCTGTAGACATTTCATATTTGGGATTCTTGTCAGTTTTTCTACTTTAAAAGAAAATGGGTAGCTGGGTTTGGTGGCTCATGCTTGTAATCCCAGCACTTGGGAGGCCAACCTGCCTAGACTACTTAGTGAGTGTCTCGTAACCCCAAAGAAATGTGAAAGAATGGAAGAGAAATTTTTAAAGATATATACCAAGTAATGCCATATTTTCTAGTGACTTAGTATTTGTAATGAATTACACTATGAATAGATAAGGAGGACAGTCATTATGTCTTACATTTTATAGATAAAAATGGCCACTGAGAGTTCTGACTTTTCTAAGGATACCTAGTAAGTGGGGGGATTTGAATTTAAACTTGCTGAAAGGAGGTTAAGTGAAATTTCTACCATAGCTTGATTACTTAAGTGAAAAATTAGCAGGTTTTTCAAACTAAAAAATACTAATGTAGACCAATTAAGATTTATCAGTATACCAAAATGTATCTCACTAATAGCAGAGATACAGTGTAGAATTAGACAGGCATGGCCTGGTGTGGTGGTGCACACCTGTAGTCCCAGCACTCAGGAGGATCACTGTGAGTTGCATGCCAACATGGGCTATGTAACGAGTCCCATGCCAACTTGACCTACAAGCTAGACCCTGTCTCAAAAACAAAAACAAAAACAAGAATTACTAGTAATACACGGAGCATGTTTATAATTAAAGATATGCTCATGACAATCACCTAGACTTCTGAAGATTTTATCTTTGATTAAGTCCACCATAGTGTTTCAAAAAGTAATGACATAACTTGGTACTGGGGCAAATTTATTAAAAGCTCATAGCAAGTTGGCTGGAAATATGTTTTTATAGTATGGAGATCACATGTTATAAAAACATAACCTTTGAAATGGGTTTTCCCAAAGTAGAACTTAGTGTAAGGAAAAAAATTTATTCTCAAAAGACTATACAAGTAGCTGTAGAGATCAAGTTAGCAAAAATATAATGAGTATATATTGTACATAATATGCTCATAAAAATACAGCAAGAAATACTTTTTCTCAGCTCCAGTTCTTTTGAAATCTGTATGCTTTTGTTAAGGTGGCATTTGTAATTCTGTTCAAGTACTATATTATGTATGCCCTTTGATGAAACAGTTTCTTAGTAAGGAAAGTGAATTCATAATTGGACCCATTTGTTTCATCATTAGTGTTTTGAGCTGGGGATATTTACTGAGGTTCATCGTTTTTCTACTTTGTTTTTCCATGTTAAATGTAAAATTCATTCTGCTTGCAAAATAATTTAGATTGTACAGTGAAAAAAGTCTAACATTAAACCAATATAGAAGAGCAGTGTAAGAAAAGCCTGTGTAATGTTACAAGCTATTATTTTTCTGATTTTTATGTCAGTACTTACCAGTGAGGAATGGGCTTGTGCCTTGTCCTTCAGGGAACATGTGGCAACATCTGGGGGCATTTGTGGTTATCCAGACTTGGTGAGGGAGGGCTGCTGGTACAATCAATAGTGTAGAGACCTGTAATGCAGCTAAACTTGCTACTGTGCACAGGACAGCTTCCTACCAAAGAAGTATCTGGCCCAAAAGGTTAATAGTTCTGAGAATGAAATCTGGTTTGTGTGACATGTATCTTTAAATATCTCTTTAAGTTGCCAAATTCATGCCTCTAAGGTAAGTTTTATATTAGTTTTCAAAGATTATGTAGACTTAAGCTTTACCTTTTGTAAACCAATATAAATTATGTTAGCTTTCTCTAGTGTTCTACTAAAACATTCTGTTTTTAAAGTAAGATATGCACAGCAGTTTTCTAAGTGCATTGCTCTTCAAGGCTATGGTCAGCTCTTTCCCCCCTTTTGTGAGTGCCCTCTGCTGGTAACTTGTTTGCTTTTGTAATAAGTAACAATGAAATCCTGTTTAAATAGTTTCCTTATTTTCACCTATGGTTATAACCTGTAGTTACATCAGTTTGTAAATATGTCAATTTTATTTAAAAGTCATATTTTAAATAATTTTTTTAAAGTTTAAAGTACTAATTTCACCCTGCTAATATTGCTGCAAAGAAATTGGACTAATCAGGCCTTCCTCATTACAAAAGTAGATGAGGCCGGGAATTTAGCTCATTGGTTCCACCGCCTGCCTCACAAGTGTGAAGACCTGAGTTCCATCCCTGGTAGGTGAATACTGTATATTTAATTAAGAAAGGAAATGGTAGTGTAAGTGAACATAGAATGGTTCTATTGGTAACATTGATTGACTTTATTTTGTCAGAGGGACCAAAAGCTGTAGCATCTCTGAATGTCTTTGCGTGTTCTCCATAGCTAATTTAGAGTGTAAACCTTGCAGGACATTACAGGGTATGTTAGAAAAGGCTTATTCAAAGATGGCAAATTATGAAAGTTCACATTCTGCAGATTTCCCTAGGCTCATAGATTAGTTGTGGAGCATCTACCTTTTAGGATACGCCCAAAATTCAGGTTATATATGTAGGTCAATTTAAGAATACATATTTACTGAGTGCTTAGTTTTGAATGTTAAAATTTATTGGAAATAGGGCCAGGGATTTAGTTCAGTGGTTCTGCCACCTAACCTTGCAAGTGCAAGGACCCGAGTTCGATCCCTGGTACCAAAAAAAAAAAAATTATTGGAAATATTTTACATTGGAATTTTATAAATGAAGCTTTAGAAATGTATAAATATAAATTGATAATGGAAATAA